TTCAAACACATGAAGAAATGTTCAAAATCCCTAGGTATTAGAGAGATAGAAAAAACAAAGGTGAGATAATGTCTCACCCCCACCACAATAGCAAAGTTCAACAGGAGAGCAAAAAAATGCTGATGAGGATGTGAAGAGACATTGTTGATAGGAAAGGTAAAATGGTACAATCTCTATGGAAAGCAATCTGGCACTTCTTCAAAAAATTTTAAATGGAAATACCATTTGACTCAACTGTCCCGCTTTGGAGAATATATTTCTAAAGAAACCAGAGCCATGACACAAACAATGTATGAACAACCATGTTTTTTGCAGCATTAGTCACAATACTGAAGAGATGGAAGCAGCTCAAATGCCCATCAATAAATGAATGGATACAAAAACTTTGGTACATTCATACAATGGAATATTATGTAGCCCTGAAAAAAAGAATAACATTTGTAAAACATTATACAACATGGAAAAGTTTGGAAATAAATTATCTGTTACAAAAGGGCAAATAATGCATAAGACTACTATTATAAAAATAGGTTGGTGTCAAGGGAGAGGAATAACAGGAAAAGAATAGATAATGACAGTACATTAGAATAGGTGAAGGGAAAGACTAAAAGGAATGTATGATTAGACATTATATGTATGCAAATTAGTGGAACAAGACATGCATTACATAGTTAATTGAGGGAGGGGAAGGGGAAATGTCTATCACTGAATTAATGAAAACTCAACCTTTTAGTAAACTTTCATTAAAATCACACTGAAAGACTTTTACAAAGTAAATGAAAATACTAAATCGATATTCCTTTAAAATTAGTCATATGAGTGAACATTGCTTTAATTTCAGATAATTAGTCCAAAGTACACCATTTAGATATTATTTAATTGTAAAATAAAGAGTATAAATGGTACATTAAAATTTTTCACTATAAAGTATATAATTTATACATATTGAAAAATAAGTTATGCTATTATTTTACAAAGCCCTTTGTTAATCCTTATCATATGTCTTCTTTTGCCAAAAGCATTCGAATTTATATTTAAAATTTAGCTTTCTTTCCTATGACCTTAAGTGTCTTAAGCCTGTTGTACTCAAAGTTATTTGCAATGAATTGCTGGTGGGTCTGAATTGATAGGCTCAGCCTCTGGATTGGCAGTGCAGCTCTCCATGGACTGTGCCATCAGAGTCCCTTACTATGATTATTAGTAGTACATTATTGATTAAAGCACATAATTACAGTTTTTAATTCTTAAACATAGCAAGTAAAATTGTAAATATACCTTTTTAGTGGATGAGGTTTTCTTCCCAGTTAGTTCATCTGATTGTGATTACTTATTGTTAGAATGAGAGATGGTTCAACATCAATTCTGTTGATTTTAGTTTGAGCAAATTTGTTTAAATGCTTAGACAAATAGATAGAAATAGAAGTTGGTAGAAGATGGGGAGGTAACACTATAATAAGCTACAGTTACGAAGCAATAAAAGGTGGTAAGAAAATTGTCTTTCTTAAAACAGGGAATAGGAGAGTCACAAGGAATTAAGTATTGATCCTCATTTAGTTATCAGTGTACTTAATATTTGCCTATGTCCTTAACAATAAATAGGCCAAACTAAAAAACAATCTTCAATAATGCACTCAGTTGTCTGCCCATAAAGCACCCCATTTCTTAGATTTTTGTGTCACGGATGATCACCAGTTTAATCTTTCATGTATCAACTTATTCCTAATTATTTTATAGCTGTGGCCACACCTGAATTCCACATTTGAATCTGAAGGTTTTCTAATTTTTTGCCCTAGCAGTCTGAGTTAAAATTAAAAATTATTTAAAGCAGGAAGGAGCTCAGGTAGTACAATGGTTAAGCATTCAACTGCTAACTGAATATCTGTAACGCAGTGATTTTTGAGGAGAAAGACAGACTTATTAGAGATTTGCTGCAATGAAGTTTACAGTCTGGGAAGTAAACTCTAATCTAATAAAATGCCCTTTGTACAGTTATGCTGTATTGAAAGAGGTTGCTTTGCACTCGGTGGACACCCTGGTGCAGGCTCTCTACCACTGGTCAGGAGCTGCTGGATCCTCTGAAGTTGGGCCTTGAATCCCAAGTTCAAAATTCTTACTCAAGCCTGAACCGCGGGAAGAAAGCTCGGTAGCCTTGCTCCTTGACAGACACGATGCTTTCCAAAGTGGCCCGATCACAGACCGTGTCTCTGCTTCGTTGGGGGCTTCATTCTTCGGCGCCTTCTGCTGTTTCTGTTGCCACCAAAAAAAACAGTCCAAGGCCCTCCATCCTCTGACTACATTTTTGAATGGGAATCTAAGTATGGTGCACACAACTACCACCCTCTGCCTGTAACCCTGAAGAAAGGAAAAGGGATTTACGTCTGGGATGTGGAAGGAAGGAAGTACTTTGACTTCCTGAGCGCTTACAGTGCTGTCAGCCAGGGTCACTGCCACCCGAAGATCATAGACGCCATGAAGCAGCAGGCAGAGAAGCTGACCTTAACCTCCAGGGCTTTCTACAATGATGTGCTTGGAGAATATGAAGAGTACATCACTAAGCTTTTCAATTACCACAAAGTGCTGCCCATGAATACAGGCGTGGAGGCCAGAGAGACAGCCTGCAAACTTGCTCGGAAATGGGCTTACACGGTCAAGGGCGTGCCCAAGTACAAAGCGAAGATCATTTTTGCATCTGGAAACTTCTGGGGTAGAACAATGTCTGCCATCTCCAGTTCCACAGACCCAACCAGCTACGATGGATTCGGACCCTTCATGCCGGGTTTTGAAATCATCCCCTACAATGACCTGCCTGCCCTCGAGCGTGCTCTCCAGGACCCCAGTGTGGCCACATTCATGGTGGAGCCCATCCAGGGCGAAGCGGGCGTCGTCATCCCGGACCATGGCTACCTCCAGGGCGTGCGGGAACTCTGCACCCAGCACCAGGTTCTCTTCATCGCTGATGAAGTCCAGACGGGCTTGGCCAGAACTGGCCGGTGGCTGGCTGTCGATTATGAAGATGTGAGGCTTGATGTGATTCTGCTTGGCAAGGCCCTCTCCGGGGGCTTGTACCCTGTCTCCGCCGTGCTGTGTGATGATGAGGTCATGCTCTCCATCAAACCCGGGGAGCACGGCTCCACCTACGGCGGGAACCCCCTCGGCTGCCGCGTGGCCATCGCAGCCCTTGAGGTCTTGGAGGAGGAGAATCTGACTGAAAACGCGTACAGAATGGGTGTCCTCTTGAGACGTGAACTCATGAAGCTGCCTTCTGATGTGGTTACTGCCGTCTGAGGAAAAGGGTTACTGAATGCCATCGTCATTAAAGAAACCAAAGATTACGATGCTTGGAAGGTGTGTCTCCGGCTTCGAGACAATGGACTTCTGGCCAAGCTGACTCACGGTGATATCATCCGGCTAGGGCCTCCACTGGTGATCAAGGAGCATGAGATCCTGGAGGCCGTGGAGATCATCCACAAGACCATCCTGTCTTTCTGAGAGTGGTCACGGGCGTTGGGCTGGAGACGGACAGGCGGTTCCAGGGGATGCGGTTAAGACTGTTCTAATGCAGACACCTTCCACTCCCAGTGTCCCCCAGGACCGGCTTGGTTCTTAGTTAGTAGAAGTATGATCCTGCAGTGTGCTGTGTAATGCAACCTAGAGTAGTGGCGTCTGCATTGAAGCGTTTACTCCTGTGTGTGTGTGTGAGTGTGTGCATTCTAAAGTGAAATCTCCTTCTCAGCCTTTCAATCAGGTCCTGTGAGTGTAGTTTACATACTTTAAAAACTCTTTGCTTGTAGAGGAAGTCTTTTATATTTGAAAATGTTACTCCTGAGAGAATAGATTCGCTCACCTTTGTGGAATTGAACCATGAGTGTTTGGGTAGGATTAATGCTTGAGGTATAGCAGATACCAGGTTAAGTAAGTGTAACTTCTTACCGGTCAACAAGGATGTATTCTATGGACGTCATGATTTTGAGTGAGGGGGGAAAAGATGTCATTCCCATATTATGTTTTGAGTGTTTGAAAAAAACCTTTTAAACAAATTATAATCAAAGTTTCTTTAAATTTAAAAGAAATAAAAGAATAAAGCTTTAAAAAAAAAAAGAAAGAGATTGCTTTGAGATAGAATTGACTTGGCTACATGCAACAGCAAATTTAGAGGAACCCGCATTCATCTATTTCTTAGCACATTAAATAAAGCATTATACTTGGGGGAAATATAGTTAAAATACAAAGCAGACAATTTTTGCATAGTTAGATCTATGAGTACTGGTGGCACAGAGGATTAATCTTTGGGGTGTTAACCAAAAGGCTAACAGTTCAAATCCCCCAGCCACTTCATAGGAGAAAAATGAGGCCATCTCTTTCCATAAAGATTTACAATCTTGGAAACCATAATGGTCAATTTTACTCTTCCCTGTAAGGTTGCTGTGAGTTAAGAATGTTCTCAACATTATTGAGGGTTTTTTTCCCCATTCATATAAAGAATAAAAACAGTTTACTGCATCAGCTATATTGAGATAATTTTATAATATCTACATCATCTAATCTATACATCAAACATCTATGTTCTTGAACAAATGCTTGGCTAATTGAATTCATATTTTCACTTAGATACGTAATGTAGAATGGGCTTCCTTGCAGTGTACCCGGCAAATTCTGGGCCACCTCTTTCATTCTATTAGCTTTCTCAGAAAAGTACTTAATAGAGGTTATGCTTTTGTATATTTTTTTGCCTATATTGTGTCCTTTGCACAAGGATGCTACATTATACTTTCAAATTGGAGTACTTCTATTCCTTTTAAACTTCAGAATATTGTAGCAATAATATACATGAGTAGTAAGCCATAGAGGGAATTAAGCCCAAAAGTTTCAGATTGTGTCTAGCATTGTAATTTTCCCATGTGACTGTTACTTAATCTGGGCAAATATATAATTATAATTTTAAAGAATATTTTCAATTTTCCAGAATACCATAACACCAAAAATTCATTTTTTAATAATAGGGCAATGCACTTTCTTCAGTAAGACCAATCAATGTATTAGAAATGATGAAGGAATGGAAAAACAACCCAGAGAGTGATGAGGAAAGTGTGATGGAACAAAAGAAGATCACTTGGTCTATTCAAGGAAATCTGAAAGCTTTCCCATCCAGCATGAAAGCTTTCCCATCCAGCATAAATGCCCAGGATGACAAGAACACTTCATTTCAGAAAGAGGAAGAACAGGTAAGAAGCAGCAACAAATCAAGTAGAAAAAGGAATTGTTGTATTCCTCTGTACTGTAAAATACTCCCAAGAGCTTAAGAACATTTTTGGTAACTTTGAACCCTTTTTTGGTTATTGTTGCTAGTTTTTTGGTTTGGTTTTTTTTATTGTTGCTAGTTTGTAACAGGACCTTAATATATAGTCCAAGTAAGATTCTATTCCTACTTCAAATGCTACCATGATAAAGCTATGGCTTATATGTTTATTTTATGGGCAGTAAATTTTGTAGAGTAAATGTTTGCAAACTCTTTGTGTAAAAGAACAGATAGTAGATATTTTAGGCCATGTAGTTTTAATTAACTCTGATGTTATAGCTTGAAAGTAGTCTTTGAAATAAATGTATGAATTTGATTGTGTTACAAAAACATACAACATGCCAGATTTGACCCATGAACTATATAGGTAGCTAATTCCTGATATTTGTCTAGTAATTCTTTTGGATTTAAGGTAATTGGTTTAATTCAATGTTGTTAACTCATTACTAAAATGATTATATATTAACAAAACTTCTAACTTGGAGTAATTTTACATATCACCTAGATAAAAATTTATTAAATATTCAGTTATTTGTTATACGTTTATTAACAGCAATATTATTTAAATAGGCTTATCATTTTACTTTTGAGCTGTGGTGCTGGAGAAGAGTATTGAGAATACCATGGACTGCTAGGAAAACAAACAGATTTGTCCTGGA